AAAAGTAGGAAACCAACAGCAGGAAAAGAACATGACAAAGATAAGCCAATACATATATTATAACCATTAATGTAAATGGCCTCAATTCACCAATCAAAAGAAGCAGACTAGCAGAGTGATCAAGAAACAAAATCCAACAATATGTTGTATACAACACATTTAACTCCAAAGGAAATTCACAGACCAAAAGTCAAAGGATAGAAAACAATTCTCCATGTGATAGCAACAAGAAAAAAGTGGTGTTAGCTATTCTGTTTGCAGACAATGTGAACTTCAAATGAAGAATGATCAAAAGAGATAAAGAACATCACTACATACTTGTTAGAGGAAAATTTCAAGATGAAGGGATAACAATCATAAATATGTATGCACCAAATATGGGACCACCCAATTATATAAGACAAATCACAAAACTTGTGAACAAATGGACTTAGTAGGCATTTACAGAGTATTCTGCCCAACAAAATCAGAACACACACATTTTCAGCTGCACATGGGATGTTCTCTAAAACAGACCACATAATAGCCCATAGAATATGGTTAAGTAAATACAAAGGAAATAAAAATATCCCATGCATATTATCTGAAAATAGTGCAATGAAACTGAAAATCAATGACAAAAGGAACCACAAAACTCCATAAACATATGAAATTTAGTAAGCCTCCAGAACAACCAATGGGTCACATGTGAAATTAAAGAAGAAATTAAACACTACCTACAATCAAGTGAAAATGTAAATACAACTTAGCAGAATCTCTGGGATGCAATGAAAACAGTCCTCAGATGGAAATTTATAGCAGTAAATTTACACATCAGGAATAAAGAATGAGAACAAATAAACAGCCCAATGCTGCACCTTAATCTTCTAGAAAAAGAAGAGCAAGTCAAGTGCAAAGTCCAAAGAAGGGAGGAAATTATAAAGATTAGGGCAGAAATTAACACAATGGAGATGAAGAAAATAATACAAAGCATTAATGAATCAAAGAGTTGATTCTTTAGAAGAATAAATAAAATTGATAAATCCCTAGCCAATCTTACCAAAAAAAAAAAGGAAAGAAAAAACTCAAATTCATGCAATAACGACTGAAAAAGGTAAAATCACTACAGATCCTATAGAAATTCAGATTATCAATACCTACTTTGAAAATCTTTACTCTCACAGGATGAAAAACAGAAGAAATGGACAGATTCCTAGGCATGTATGAATTGCCAAAGCTGAATCAAGAAGATATAGCCATTCTGAATAACCCAACATCAGTTAATGAAATTGAAAATGTGTTTACAAATTTACCAACAAAGTAAAGCCCAGGTCCTGATGGATGCACAACTAAATTCTATAAGAAATTGAGAGAAGATTTAATGCCAATACTCCTCAAACTCTTAAATGATATTGAAAGGGAAGTAATTCTCCCTAACTCATTTCTGGAGGCAAGCATCATATTGATACCAAAACCAGAGAAAGACCCAACCAAAAAAGAGAACTACAGATTAATCTCTGTAATGAACATAGATGCAAAAATCCTCAATAAGATACTAGCAAACAGAATGCAGCAAATCAAGTCACACACCATGATCAAGTGGGATTCATCCCACAGATACAGGGATGGTTCAATATATGCAAATCAATAAATGAATACATTAAATCAATAGAACCAGAGACAAAAACCACATGATCATCTCAGTAGATGCAGAAAAAGCTTTTGACAAAGTCTAACATCCATTCATGATAAAAACCCTATAGAAAATAGGAAGACTGTCTTTATATCAATCTGATCAAAGCCATCTATGACAAACCAACAGCCAACATCATACTAAATAGACAAAAACTGAAAGCTTTCACTTTAAAATCAGGAAAAAGACAAGGATGTCCACTGTCACCACTTCTATTCAACACTGTTCTGGAAACACTAGCCAGAGCAATTAGACAACAGAAAATAAAAGGAATAAGGACAGGAGAAGACATTAAATTATCATTATTTGCAGAATACAGGATATTCTACATGGAAGTCCCCCAAAACTCCACCAAAAGACTCCTAGAATTAATAAACAAATTCAGTAGCATAGGTGGATACAAAGTCAACACCTGCCTCATTTCTGGAGGCAAGCATCATTTTGATACCAAAACCAGAGAAAGACCCAACCAAAAAAGAGAACTACAGATTAATCTCTGTAATGAACATAGATGCAAAAATCCTCGATAAGATACTAGCAAACAGAATGCAGCAAATCAAGTCACACACCATGATCAATAGCATTCCTGTACACAAACAACAAACACACTGAGAGAAAAATTAGGGAAACCATACTTTTCACAGTAGCATCCAAAAGATGAAATAACTAGGAATCAACCTAACAAAAGAAGTAAAAGATCTATACAGTGAAAATTAGAGTACTCTGAAAAAAGAGATCAAAGAGAATCTCAGAAAATGGAAAGATACTCCTTGTCATGGATAGGAAGAACCAACACTGTGAAAAGGGCCATACTCCCAAAATTGTTATAAAGATTCAAAGCAATCCAGATTAAAATACCATGAGTATATCTTACAGATCTAGAGAAAATATTCCTAAAATTCATCTGGAACCAGGAGACCCAGAATAGCAAAAGCAATCCTGGGCAACAAAGGCAAGGGAAGAGGCATCACAATCCCTGACTTGAAATTATAATACAAAGCTACTGTGACAAAATCAGTATGGTACTGGCAAAAAAACAGACTTGAGGATCAATGGAACAGACTGTAAGATGTAGCCACAACCACAAACACACTCAGCTACCTTATGTTTGACAAAGGAGCCAAACATGTTCACTGGAAGAAAGATAGGCTCTTTAATAAATGGTGCTGGAAAAAACTGGCTCTCCAGATGCTGAAGACTAAAACTAGACACACGTCTATCACAGTGCACTAAACTCAAGTCAAAATGGATTACAGATCTAAATATTAAAATAGAAATACTAAATCTACTGGAAGAGAAAATAGGTAAAAATTTGAAGACATAGTGTTAGGCAGAGAGTTCATGAACAAAAACCAAACTGCATGGGAAATACTTCAAAGAATCAATAACCGGGATCTCATCTTACTGAAAAGTTTTTGCACATCTAAAGAAATCACCAATAAAGTAAAAAGAAAACCCACAAGTTGGGAAAACATTTAGCCAACTGTTCCCCAAAGGACTTCTATCTAGAATATATAAAAAATTTAAAAAATCAGGCCCCCCAAATTCAAAGACCAAATACAAAAATGGGCCTGAGATGAATACACACTTCTCAGATGAAGAAATACAAATGTCAAATAAATACATGAAAAAATATTCAACATTATTAGTCATTCAAGAAATACAAATTAAAACAACACTGACATTCCATCTCACCCCAGAAAGAATGGCTATCCTCAAGAAATCAACCAATAATAAATACTGGATGGGCCATGGGAAAAAAGGAACCCTTCTGCACTGTTAGTGGGAATGTATACTGTTGCAAACAATGTGGAAATAGTTTGGAGATTCCTCAGTAAATTAAGATTAGAGGTTCCATTCAACTCAGCTATTTCCCTTGTGGGTATTTTTCTATAAGAACTGAAAACATCTTACCACAGCAACATATGTGCACTCATGTTTATAGCAGCACAATTTGTAACAGCCAAATCATAGAAGACAACCCAAATGTCCATTGACTGAGGAGTGGATAAAAAAGATGTAATATTTTTATATAATGGAATATTACTCACTTTTTAAGAAGGATAAACTCGAGGCTTTTACAGGTAAATGGATGCAACTAGAGACCACACTCATAAGTGAACTAAATCAGACTCATGTGTAAACACTGTATTGTCTCCCTAAGAACCTGAAAGAGTAAATAAAATCTGAAAGATGCAATACATAATGTGAAAGGGAAAGAAACTGCTGAAAAGGAAGGAACAACTGGGATGAAGGAAAAGAAAAGAGAAGGAAGGAAATATTATGCATATATATGTACACAAGATAGCTAAGATAACTGTACTACTAATTCCTATTGGTTTACTGAAAGAACCCTTAATGTTTAATTGCTTGATCAATCTTACATGCCTCTATCTGGTTATCTGAGTAATCACTTTGAAGATAACAATATGTAATACAACCACTGTTAATTTCCTACCACCTTGTTTGAAATTCTGTATCGTTTTTATTGTTTTTGTATTGCTTTATTTATGTCCTTGTATTTGTAAATTTGTTTTTGTTCTTTTTAAAATAAAAAAAAGAAATAAACAAAACATCCTCCTTTAAGGAAAAAAAATCTGGGGACTAATGAGCTGCTGGGGCCACTATGAGACTTTTTAAGATTATTCCTGGCACCTGAGAAGTGATGTCAACTTGGTGAATGGCTTATGAACAAAATTTGTAAGGATGTCACACTTCTCAAAGCTCAATTTTATCATGTGTATTAATAATTAGACCAAAATTTAAATACACTGAGACATGATTTAATGAGCAGAAAATTGTGTCCACAGATAATCTTCATTTTGTCCCTTATTTCTCTCAGCTCCAAAATTAAGATATTCTTTGACCTTCCTTTTCTACCAGTAGACACTTAAAGATTAAACTCAGTGTTTAACTTGTGCCAATGGGAATGAGCCTAGGCATACTGGGAGAGGCTGGGGAAGGACGGGCCAGAGAAGCATGTTTCCTGAAGGAGCATGGGTAGACCCTCCAGAACCACTCCTCTGAGATGGAGGAGTTCACAGGAGCAAGGAGCTTGCAGGAATCTAGTATTAAGCTTACTTGGAATTCTCAAAAGCAGGCAGACTATACAATCTTTTCTGAAGGTTATTTGGTCAGCTATTGTTCATGATGGCTCCAACTAAGAACAAGAGACTTCCTCTAAATGCAAGTGAGGTACAGAAGAGTTTATGGGCAACAGACTACTGGAGAGTCCATTAAACTTGAGCTGCAAACTTGGGTTCAAATAATGCAAGGTGGAGATGAGACACAGAAATCACAGAAGTAAGAATGTAGCACACACAGACAGTCAAGACTTGCTATAGAGCTTTAATCACCAAATGTAAAAACAATAATTCATATATTTAAAGTGGCTCCAGATTCTTCATTGTCTTCACCATCAACAGTCTAGAAATGAAATGATGCACTGAACAAGACCTTCCTGCTTATAATAGTCCTATCAATGTGTTTTTACAAAACACATTTAGTTTTACTCTAAGGTCTCCCAAAGTACAAGAGAAAAGTCATTACCAGCTAGAATTTAGTCAACACAGAGTTTTAAAAATCATTTATGTTTAATTTGGAATGGCTTCTCTTCACTCTTCTCATGCACACTACACAATGACCAGAGGAAACAATGGTAAATGGCTATATCCAGTCTTATTATAAACTGGTAACATGTTTTAGCTCAACTTAATGACCAAACAAAGACAATTTTAACATCAATTAACTTTACACCATTATATTTTAAATATGTATCAAAATGAGTTCTTATAAAAAGGGAGTTGGCAGTCCATTCTCAGATGTGAACAATAAATACCACAGTACTTTCTTTTAACAGCTACTGCAGTGTACCCTATTTACCTAGTATCAACCACGTACATAGGCTCAGACTTCACAGACTGCCTTGCAAATACTTAACTGTGGGCTCTTAGTCACCCTGAGATCAGATCTGCACATGTCTAAAAGAGAAACAACTTTCAAATACTCCAATATTTACTCAAGTGCTGAGAAAGATATCCCTGTTAAATTGGGGTGGGGTGATAGCCCTGTTAAAAGGCAACAAATAGAACAAAAAGATTCTGAAAATCTGAATTCCTAATGTGTTTAACACTATGTTTTGCACATTAGTCTCCAGCCATGTTGCACTGCCTTTCAAAGGCAGCCCTGTGGCTTTGTTTCCATGATCTCCACACGTTTTTAAGATGTGCTTTCTAAATATCCCCATCATTTCATCTAAATGGCAATGAATCTGCACATCTGAGTCAGGAAATTCTTGTTGCTACTTTGTTTTGAAGTATTGTGCATGCAATTTCCTGTCTACTGTTTATTTACTTTCCACCGCAGAATAACACATATTCTGGGCTATAGTGAAAGTCAGATGATATGCAGCACTTAGTTACCATCACTAATTCTATTCTGTACTCCACTTCTATCATTTTTAGATGCCTCCCCAACTTAAATGGTTGAATGGAACAATATGGGCATGGGCACTCTCTAGAAGTTAAATTGTTTACTAACTTTCTGCCAAAATTGAGTAAGGATATTGGAGAGAAAATTGAGTACTATGAAGAGTTAGCAAAACATTTTCTGAGGAAGGCATGGTACAACTGTTCTCTTTTTCAGAGAGGCTCTCATGGAAAAATCAATGCTGGAAAGACACTTAACAATTATCTGAACGATTTTTCATCTAATATTTCAACTCCTGTACAATATCCTGCCAAACTGTTGTCTAGTCTCTGCTAGAACACTTATATGTAGTAAGCTGGTCCAAATTGCTTATTCTTTCCTACACAGAGTAACAGAACAGATAGTAAATGGATTTCCACTAAATATAATAATGAATTTTACCTAACCATTCAACAGTTAGAAGGTGCCTATTGCTACTCAAAAGGATAAACAACATTGTGAGGAGCATTCTATATTTTCTGCAATCATTCAAAATGGAGAAATGTGAATTTTCACAATCACTGTTGAGTAACTGTGTTGTAGAGGGTAGATCAAAACACTTTAGAAGTAATCACTGTAAGGACTCTGAAACAAAGGGAAAACAAATATTTTAAATAATAAATAAAGTTTGCATTTGGAAGATGAAATAGAAATCTTGCACACCAAGTCTTAGTGTAAGAACCGGAGAACGCTGGGGAGTGAACTATGGATAAATCAGTCTGAAGCAGGTGTCATTTTAGACACAGGAGACCAAAGAGAAGGACAGAACAAGTCTAAGCCTGTAGCTTGTGGTCCCCAGGCAAAAGGAAACGGCTCTCTATCTTGATTGTCTCCTCTGGCTTGTTGGATAGCACTGCAAATAACGTCCTTGTTTCTTACTTCTCTCAAAGGGCCCAGACTATTTCGGGGATTATATCTCTCCTTTAAAGACTAACCAAGTAGTAAGTTAACTGGTGGCCAATAACACCAGAATTCAATTTATAAAGGATCAGTTTCTCTAAAGGGATAAGTTTGGCTATATTTTAATTTTCTAAATATATACTGTAGATAAGTCCACTTGAACTAAAAGCATTTATCCCCATCACACATGTAAAATCTAAAAATTGCTAACCATGGTAACTGAGTCTTAGTTGATTCGATTTTTAATGTTATCTCACCTTTGTGTTAAAATGGCAATGGTATTTTTAATAGTAAAGACTATGAGTAACAGAAAAAATAAAGCAACAGAAAACCAACCTTTTAGTCAGTATGTCTTTTATGTGGAAGCTACTCTTTTCATATCTGATTCAAAAGTATCAGATAATTAATATTTAGTAGCTAGATGACAGGAGAGCAAATCCTGCAAAAAAGAACAAAACTCTCTTGACCACTGAGAATTGGAAGTGAAATCAATGAAAGTCTATCAAGTACTCAGGGTAGATTTGGTTGGCATCAAAAACCACAAAAATCTTTGGATTCCAGGTATCATCCACACAGCTGTCATATAAATTCACATAGCTCCCATCTTTGGAAGGGGGTCGCATGTATTTGGAATCTCCGTTTATGTAATCTCCAATTAGCACCCGAGCAAGAAACATAGATTTGTACGTTCTAAACAGATGCCGCTGTGGCAGGCTGACACCATGAATCTGGAATGTGTTTCCGTGCTTTATGTCATCTTTGCAGAAGCGGCTGGAGTAAGCAGCATCTCTAGCAAAATAGGTTCCTTGAACAAAAAGGACCAAAGAGAGCTGAGATTACTCCTAAGAACATACTAAACATAAGCAAAAACATTCTAGTTGGCAGGAAAACTGACACATGGAGTCATAACAAAAACAGGTGAGGACTTTCCTCATCCACAGATCCTTAGAAGAAAAGAATCCACCTGTAGGGGACAGCTGCAGTACAGACTGCCTAGCCCAGGCATGGAGTCGTTGGTATAAACCAGGTCTCTCCAAAACACTTCCGTACCTCCACCTAACTGTAGATACCAGGCTTCTGCTGCAGAAGGAATCTCCCAGAGATACCCAATAAGTACAACACATTAAAACTGTTCTAGAATTAAAAGTGTGGCAGGTTCTAAACTTTGTTGTTGCTGCTGTTTTTGTTACTGGGGGTTTAAAGACCTGGATTTTTACAGTGTGGACTTCCTTCCTATTTCTATTTCCTTCTATCAGTCTCCTTCCCTTCCCTTGTTCAACATCCAGCAAAGCTCTGGAAAGCACAAGGAAAATTTTAGTTCACAGAGATGATTTCAAGCCAGAAGTCATATTTCTATGATGCAGGTTAACAATCCAATAACAATCCTAGAAATAACAGAACTTTATATCCTGGAAAAGATTTCCAGGAAAGTATGAAGCTGTTGCTATGGTCTGGATCTTAAGTGTCCCTCAACACCCAGTGTACTAAAGGCTTGGCCCCCAGCTTGGTGCTACGGGTGGTGGTGGAACCTTCAGGAGGTGGAATCTCATGGGAGGTTTTGGTTGCTGGGGATGCACCCTTGAAGGGATGTGACCCTCATCTTCCTCTCTTTCTCTTCATTTCCCAACTGCCACAAAGGGAGATCTTTCTGCTAGGCACTCCCTGCTATCACCATCTGCCTTTAAGGTGGCCCCAAAGCAACATGGCCAACTGACCATGGACTGAAACTTAAAGCCAAAGTAAACCCTCCCTTCTTTAAGTAGATTCTCTCAGGTATTTTAGTAACAGAAAGTTGACTAACAGATATTCATGCCTGAGCATTCCAGAAGAGTATTTTCATGGGTTCACTGCTTACACATGAAAACTCAATAATGTAGCCCACTTTTTGGAAATAGTTAGTTGGAGGAGACTGACACTGTTAAGGCAATACCTACTATAACCAATTTTGCAGATGAATTGCCAAGTCTCACCTTCACTCAATACAGTAAGGATGGGATTTATTAAGATCTAGAAGAACAACTGTCCAATCTCTTCTCTTTGCTCCTCCTCTCTCTCCTTAATTGCTTGTGGAGATAAATTGAACTTGTACTTTTACAACACTAGAAACAGGGAACGTCCCCACCCAAATACCTTACTGCTCATTAATAGTCTTACCTATAATTTTCTCTAAAAAAACAAACAAAATAAAAACATTTATACTGGTACACAATATAATTAACTTATTATATCACCCTCTATATATTCCCAGGAAGCAGTTTAGTGTATAAGCGCATACACAGAAAGGACTTACACATGAAAATGAAATCTAATGTAAAATTCTCCAACATGGACGTGCTCCAGCTGGGAGTGTGATTGGGATTGTGGCTTCCATCCTGTGTGTATAAAAACTGACTTTTCTGTGACTCAGCCTAAGTAGCAACTCTTAACTATTACCAAATCCCTGAATTAGAAAACAATCAATTATTTCCAAAGAGAGAAAATGCTCTCTCTGGACTCCATTAAGACCTAGAATTCTGATTAATTACCTTTTCCAAATAGAGCGCCATGTATACCATTTATTCTCCAATCAAAGTTATGAATGCAAATTGCTTCCACATATTCACTGCTGGTACCATGAAATAGCATTTGTTCATTAATCTGAGGGATGCCTCTTTTTTTCTTGAGCTGTGCCTTTTTCCTAAAAACACAATACACACAGACAGAACAGCACACACAGAAATATACCATAAGTAGCATTTACTAACTTTTTAAAAAGCAAAGTTCAACAGAAAGTGTGAAAATGTAAGTCATAAAGGACAAAGAAATTCTAGAAAACAATTTTGGGTCCTTCTGGACAACACATAATTCACTTTATCAAAAATTATTAGTCAACACTGAGGAAAGGTTGAAAAATATACTATAAAGGGCCTGGGGATGTATCTCATGGCAGAGCACTGACCCAGCATGTGCCCTGGGTTTGGTCCTCAGTACCCAGGGAAAAAAACAAAAAAAGGAAAATCTTACTGATAGGTTCAGATACCCCAGGCTATGCCCATAAAATTAAAAGTAATTGACTACCTAAGCCAGGTGGGTTTATAAGTGCCGATAAATGAGACTACAAACAATTAAGTAGTACAAAGTTCACAGAGCCCGTAAATAATGAATTATTTTATTCTTTTCATCTCCAGAGATTACAAAATTTTGGTTGAATTTAAATGAATTTTAAATCTGAGTAACATTAAACCATCCAGTGTAACACTCTTTCCAATGGAGAAATTTCCTCTACTCATAAAAGGATATTCAATTTAGGACTGATTATATCCAAAAAAAACAAAAATTGAGAGCCTAAAATTCACGATAAAAGAATATATTTAATTATATATCTGCATATAAAATTGAAAAGTAATGAACAAGATTTGTGGGTATTACCACAGTAAATCTAGAATATATACTAAATGTAGAAAGAATCTTGCAAAAACAAACATTCATCAAAATAATGCTATGTACTATATAGATATACTTACATAAGTAGTAAAAAATAAAAAATATAGACAGGAAGGCATTGCACCAATTTAGGGGGGAAGGAGTAGAGTAGGATGGAGCTGGAGTAAACACTTGGCCTGTATCTGTAGTGTTTCATATCTTTAAAAAACATGATGCCAAGATGAAGAAAGTATGCCAAGTATTAAAATATCAAGTCTGATTAGCAGGTAATCTTATATTCTCACTTTTAGAATATTTCATTAAGAAGATGTTAGAAATAACCCCTTCTCTCTTGCATTTCTGAGATCTAGCTACTGAATGCCTACTTCAGTCCATTCCAGTGCTGTTACAGCCTGGATCTAGATGTCTCCCCAGAGCAATATGTTTGTGGTAACTAAATGGGTTTAGTACAGTTCTGAGTAATGGAAGCCCCATTCTGGGTAGAGGTGGTACCAATCAATAAGTCTGTAGGCTGAATGGAAGGAATATAGAGAGAAAGATGGAAGGCAGGCTCACTGCCTCCTCTCTCCCCTGCCATGGACTGTTTCTCCTCTGTCGTGCCACCCTTCCAGGTGACTACAGACTGAAACTTCTACAAACTAAAATAAACCTTTGCTCCACTTATGGATGACAGGTATTTTGTTCCTGTAATGAGAGAATAAGACAAGTGCCAAAGACTTACTGCTGTGCCACAGAAAAGTCTATTTGCAATCATCTGTAATTGTTAGAAAGTACATTCATGCCAACAATGAACCAAAATCCGCCTTCCTATTACTTCTGCTGACTGGTCTTTGTTACTGTCTCTTAAACACAGAATGAATGAAAACATCCTTTATTAAAACAACTCTGTAAATACCCACAAACATCTCTGAAAGCCTCCCAGGTTTTCTCCCTGGGTTGAGTTCACACTGTCCCCTCAACCATTCCTCACATGGTACGGCTTCGTCTCTATATTGGACTGTCTTCAGTTAAAGGAATCTGGTTACTGGGTTTCATGGCAGTGGCATCAATTATTGACACAGTGTGTGCAGTCAATTACTATCCTGGCACTTTTCAGACTAGACCTTCTCCTCTTGCCACTCTGTATAACTGATTTAAAAACCAAATGCTGTAGACTTATTTCAGCTATGCTTCACCTAATACAGTAACTTAAAAAGCAATTATATCAATTTTCTTTTTCAGAACTTTATGTACTATCTCATTTTTTAAACAAGGTACATTTGTGCCTTTTATAACTAAGAAAAAAATTTAGAAAAAGAAGTATTTGTTTTGACCCACTTTCAATGCCCATAACAATAAAAGTAATTGATTACCTAAACCAGGTAGGTTTATAGGTGCCTATAAATGAGACTACAAACAATTAAATAGTATAAAGTTCACAGAGCCCATAAATTATGAATTATCTTATTCTTTTCATCTCCAGAGATTACAAAATTTTAGTTGAATTTAAACGAATTTTAAATCTGAATAACATTAAACCAGGTCTTAACAATAAGGTCTTAACAATAAGCTATGCCTTCTAGTTTTGAATCTTTTGCAATGGTGATCAGCAAGACTTCTTATTTCATCTAAGTTTCTGATAAAAATGTTGAAGGACTCAAGGAAAAAAGCATGCATGCCAATGGAGTTACTCTTTGCATAAGACTTCTATTAATTTTAAGCTGTGTGTGGTGGTGCACACCTGTAATCTCAGCACTCAGGAGCCTGAGATGGGAAGAATGCTGTGAGTTCCAGGGCAGCCTGGGCTACATAGTAAGTTCAAGGCTAGCCTGCCCTACAAAACGAGACTCTTGTCTCAAAACAACAAACAAAACAAAACAAACCAAGATGTCTAATTTTTCTCTTTGTACCAACCCCTTGCATATACTGTCTCCATTATAAGATGCTTTCTCAAGTACTTTGGAGTCAAGTTAGAATGTCTAAGGGTCTTTCCTATCTACCACTAAGGCAATCCTACCGGTTAGTTGGGCATTAATGAATCCATACTTGTTTTTCTCCATTTTTTGAAGTACACATTTGTTTAATATATATCCTTGTAAGGTCCATCAGCAATATGACTAGAATTGGAAAATCAGGAAGTCCACTTGTCACTAGATTTCAGGCACAGACTAAAATGAATATGGGTTTGAAAATTTGCTCAGAGTTTGGACAGTGGGGATCAATGGCAATGAAGAGCAGCTTGCCCAGGGACTGGACAGAGCACACACACAAGTCAGAGGCAGAGCTGGGCAGGGTGGTGAAAGTTTTGCATCCCCTAGCAAGCTTTACTGTAGTGCCCCAACTAAGGCACCCATGAAATGTGGACACTCACAGACTATGCCTTTTGTGTTCCAGCAAAGCCCATGTTGAGTTGCAGAACCTCTTGAACTTCAGTTAAACCTGCAATGAGACAGGACTACACTAAATTCTTCACAACCCTGCCCACCTATGGTCAAACCCACAATTATCTAAACTTACTAAAAATACTGTGGCACTCGTTTCTCAAAGCCATCTCACAATTACTCACCCTTTTAGGGACCAGAGTGCAAAAAGGAGCAGACTGTACATCATGCTCTGCACCAGAAAGGGAGATCTAGATGGAAGCAAATTTCCCTAAGTCTAAACTAGTGATCAGAAACCTACAGCACGTGTGCCACAGCGGTGTGTTTATACCGCTGAAAGCTCTGCAAGGTTTGCCTTCACTGGTTTAGACTATGGGCTTCCATCTTGGATGGACATCAGAAACACCTATAGACCTTTCCACAGTTAGGAAAGGCAGACATCAGAGGCACTGACTCAGTGGATCTGGGGTGGGTGACAGACATCTGTACTTGTCAAAGTGCTTCACAGGTGACTCTGACATGCAGCCAGGTGTGAGAATCTCAGAACCATCTACATCCATGTTTTTAATAAGACAGCAGCTTTCACTTCCCAACTAGGGATCACTCAAACTATCTCCCCTATCTGCTCTTACATGTGTACTACACAAGTAAATCACAAAATATTCCCCATGGTTTCTACCAGAAATGCACATCCTCCAACTGACTCCAGCTCACTCATGGAAACCCTCCAGTTCCCAAGCCAGCTCTCTCCCCATTTCCCATAGTGGCCATTTCAACTCTTGCCCTCCCTTCTTCCTTACTTTTCCTTCCTTCCTTCCTTCCTTCCTTCCTTCCTTCCTTCCTTCCTTCCTTCCTTCCTTCTTACCCACACCTCCATGACACTTCTTTTTATGCAGGTGGCTTCACTTCTTACTTTACCATGGAAACGGAAGGTATCAGGGAGGAATGCCACCCCCAGCTCCTCTCCTCTACTACTTCTAACTTATCTATACATGGAGCCGGACAACTGTCCACCTCCTTCTTCACACGCATTCTCTCAATCTATCCTGTCATGTTTCTTTGGAAGACTCAGTCCATAAGTTATCCTTCCCTTCTTTCTCCTGTCTTGTAAACTCTTTTTCTGTACAGGTTCCTTCTAATAATAATGCTTAGGTCTCTCTTATCAAATGCTTTGGAAATCAACAGGGAGATTCTTCAAAAAACTAAAAATAGAAATTTTATTTGACCTGGCAATATCTCTCCTAGGTATATTCCCCAAAAACTTCCTACTATAGTGATCCATGCACATCCATGTTTCTAGCAGCACCATTCACAACACCTAAGCTCTTGAAACAGCCTTGATGCCTATAAGGATGGTAAAGAAAATGTGTCATATGTACTCAGTGAAATTTTATTCAGCCATAAAATGAAAAAATTCATGTCATTTGCAAGACAATGGATGGATTTTGAGACCATAATGTTAAGCAAAATAAGGGAGATATGGAAAGTTAAATACCACAGTTTCTCTTATGTGAGAAACTCAAATATAAGTAAAGAGTAAAACAAAGACAGACTTTTTAAAGATGGGGAAGGTGTCAGGGGAAGGGAGAGAAGGGAGAGGACTGTCCTCACACGACAATCTAATGTCTCCAGTCATCACCAAATGTGCCCAGGTGGACAAAATTCCCCCTCCAAATGAGAACCAATGCTTTGAAACTTTCCCCACAGCATGGCCCAATGAATTATTTTTCTAAAACACAAATTAGATCCATCATTCTCTTGCTTAAAGTCCTGCAAGGCATAGTGGCACATGCCCACAAACCCAGCACACAGAAGGCTAAGGCAGGAGGATCACAAGTTTGAGGCCAGCTTGAGCTACAGACTAAGTTCAAGGTCAGCCTAGACTACACAGTGAGAGACTGTCTCAAAGCAAGCAAGCAAAACTACAAATACGAGTCTCTTAGTTCAGTTTATAAAGGGTTGCATCACTGGCACCTGCTAACTCTCTGACTTTCACTCGGGATCAGTTCAACTCAATCCAACTAAAGCTACTGCAGAATGTCACACCACCACCCTGGAGTGCGACTGTGAGACCCTCCATGCCCTGCCTCCTGATCAACTTGCTCGCCTCCTCACTCACTGTTCATTTTATTTCTGTTGCATTTGAAATTCCATTTTCCTGTTTCCTCTATGTATCCAAACTTTGGCCCCAGTGCTCCCAGTGCCTAAGATGCCCTTTCTCTATCCTGCTGTGTCTAGCTGAAATGACATGTGCCTTTGGAAGTGCTTCTTCATGTCTGTAGACAATACACACACCCTACTTTAGTCAACAAGAGTGGATAGATATCTGCCCTTTAGTGAGGTGCTGCTCACTCCCACATTTCTGGCAGCAGTGGCCTGGCTCCTTGTCTAACCTACAGTCCTATCCACCATCATAGCCCAGGTGCTCAGAATAGTGCCTGTCATAAAGCAGGTGGAAGGAAAGGGAAGAAGGCAGGTTTGAGGAATATGAGCTGATTCCCGATGGACTCATGTGGGCTTGCCTGCCCGTATGATGAGTCACAGCTTATATGACATTAACTTCAGTTATTCTGGTTTTTGGGGGAGATGTCAGGCTGTCCTTACAATGAGATTTGGCCTTCTGCAAGGTCATGGCAGGTAGCATATTCATTTACCGCCACAGATTTCCACAGGCTGACATTACATGAAATCAGGAAGGGCATCATCAGAGTACAATTGGTTCTAATGAGATCCTTGGTATAAAATGTTTTAGGGATCCTGTGGTACATTTTTACCATTAGATTTTCAATGAGAATTCAAATTATGAAGGAAACCAATATAAACCACTTCACAGGCCTGATTAAGAACAATGAATTAGGGCTGAGGATGTAACTCAGTGATAGAGTTTTCGCCTGGCCTTGGGTTTACTTCCCATCTCAAAAATAAACAAACAAACAAAAAAGAAACAAAAGATAATGAATTCACGGGCTACAGTGGTGCACACCTGTAACCCCAGCCACTTGGGAGGCTCAGCCAGGAGGAAGATTGCAAGTTTGAGGCCACTCTAGGCAATTTATTGAGAACCCATCTCAAAAAAAAAAAAGAAAAAAGCTCAGCATTACCTGGATTCAATTCAAATACCTCAAAAAAACAAAAATAGGGATTACAGTTTTACCAACTCATTTTAGAAAAATATGTTTTCACTAAGAAAATCAAATCAAATCAAAGTGGGCAGAAAAGGCTTCTAGATTCCTCTGTAACAGAAACATCCAAACAAGACTGAATAAAACCTTCTAAACCCAGTTAAATTCAGTTAGTATAAAAAAAATGAGTTAGTTTGGTCTAAAGATACCAGATCATAAAAACCACAGGCTGAAAGTACCCTATTTTAGTATACAGTATTAAAGCCGTATTAGCTAGTCAAAAAACCATGAAAGAATCCCAGGTATCATTACCCATCAAAATTTAGCCTAATTCTCAAGTATATGCAAAGGAAATGACAGTCTCAGATTTGCTTTAAAATACTTTAGCAACAACAACAGTAACAAAAAAGGAGATAAATTATATGTGTTAAATCTTGATAAATATTGAATCAAGATCGGCATCTGGGGTTCATTATATTAGACTCTACTTGCATCTATTTGAAAGTTTTGAAGTAAAAATTAAAAGTCAGCTTATAATAAAAATTAGAAATAAAATTTCATCTATAAAAATTTAAAATATCTCAGACATTTATTTTAAGTAATACCTCTGTTATAAAACTACAGCACAAGTTAATTGGAATAATACCTTTACATTTTGTGTAATGTTTATTTTTAGGTTCAGTACACACTGGGAAATCAAATGAAACATTTTCAACCTAAATCTAGTAATGAATTCAGATTTTACACCACAGACTTTAAGGTAAGCAGGAAAATCAAAGGTATGTGTTCTTTAAAACAAAACAAGCAAATGGCTACGGTAAGACAGTACAATTGTTTCAGAAACGAAATTCAACAATGTTTCCAGAGATTTCTGGAAATCAAAGTAAAGGCTGAGCCAAACAAAGTTGTATCAACCAAAGTGCTCAGCCTCGTCCATTTCATTGAGGATGCTGAGCTCTCCACCTTGCAAGGACAGAATGCCTCTCACATTATACAGTCTGGATTTACTTACACATCTCTCCCTGAGAATGCTGGAGAAGGGAGCTAAGAGGCAGATCAAAAGATGGCAAGAGGAAAATACATGTTTATGCCTCTGAAAACTAATACAAAAAAAAAAAAAAAATACCTGTACTCAACCATCTCAAAGACTATAGAAATCTTAGGGATGGCAGAAGGTTCAGATTAGAAACATCTTACCTGCAGAAGAACTCCCATAAATCTAAGTTTTGAATTCTCTGAATTCTTTCGATTCGGTTGCGATCCATTGTTTTCCCAAAAAGACTGGCAACTTCATTATATTCATGTGTTTGACTGTGCAGAGAAATGAGCTGGAAAGAGAAGTTTGCATAGTCTTACTAGGGTCCTTCCCAGTTTCTCCATAAGACAGTTAGTTACTTCTGCTCTCACCTGATAGGGTACTTCAGTGTTCACATTCTCCCAGTGTGGTGGCATAGGTATAGCTTCATTTTCACAGATGTAACTTCAAATAGCAAAGATAAAGCAAAATATCAAGAGCTGATTATAATTATTGCTAGTTATTTAGCTTTTTCACCAATGGTGAATTTCTGTACTTAGGTTATTATGGCAAATGCAACCAAGTGTAGTCTTTGGTTTTTTTATTTAAAAGTATTTTTTGAATGTCTCTTTTGTGTTACTTGTTAGGTGCTGAATTGTGAACTTTGATGGAAAATATACAATCATACATTCACCATCAAATTTCAAAAACAGCCTGGAATAGTGGGGTATGTCTATAATCCCAGTATTCTAGAAGGCTAAAGTAGAAAGACTGCCAAATTTAAGACCATCTTAGGCAATTTCACAAGACCCTAATTCAAAAAAGCATTGGGAGTTAGCTCAGTGAAAAAGGCTAGTTTAAATTTCCCATATCTCCAAAAAATAAAACAAAAACAAACAAAAAGTTAATGGGTGGAATTAACAAATCCCAAACCTATACAGTACTTAACTAATTTTTTTCAAACTCACTCTCAATTTTGAAAAAAATAAAGTAATGTAGACAAGCAAACACATCTCTTTGCTAGGCTTCTCTCAATTCTCTGGGTTATGTTAGGGACAGGTCCTTTCAATACAACAAAAACTCCAATGAGGAAACAGGAATAAAATGGAGAAAATAGTGCTTTGGAAAGAAATTTCCATAAACAGCTAGACACCAAAGAAGAGAAATGAAAACCAAGAACCAGAAACAGGCCAGTTCAGTCAACCACACAGTGATCAGGAAACCCAGAGTTTCTTTCAAGGTTGGGAATTTCTGGTCCATGAAGTATATACCCAAGTGAAAAAGAATCACGTAGTGTCAAGCAGTTCCTCAGTGGATCCACCAGAGGGGCACAAAGGAAAGCTGGAAAAAGTGACTGTACTTGCTGCTAAGTTTGCAGGATTTATATTGGACTATTTGTGAGGCCAACGAGAGATCAAAGAGCCAACCTTTACAGTGTCCTTATGGAGAGGACCAGCAGAAGATCCTGGGATACAGATGCAAGGACAAGGACCTTTCAGGTCCTCTCTGGGAAGATGCCACAGTATCAGCACCAGAACTGTAGCATGCCCATCTTCAAGGAGCAGTACTGTGTGCCACTCCTGTGACACTCATGGAAGATACTTGGATACCTGGATGGGTGCCCTGGAACAGGAACCCTCCATGGGCAATTCCATACCCACCTCCTGCCTTTCCCAGCAGCTCCTGTCCCCCAGCAGCAGTGGTGGTCCTCTTCTGACTCTGATCCATAGCCTCAATATTGAGAATCAGAAACTGTACCCGTTCTGTCTGAAGACAACAGAACAGTACAATTCTGCAACTAGGAATCCCTTTCTTTCCCCAGCCAAGGTAGTGAGAATAAAACATGAAAAATTTGTAAAAAGTAATATAGGGTCCAAACTGATTAAGCAGAAGCCCAGCATTTAAGGTAAGCAGGAAAATTGAAGGTATGTATTCTTTAAAATAAAACAAGAAAATGGCTATAGCTCATTTCTGTAATCTCAGCTGCTCATGAGGCTAAGGCAGAAAGATTGCAAGTTTCAGGCCAGCCTGGACAACTTAGTGAGACACCATCTTGAAAGAAAATGAAAAGGGCTGAGGAGATATAGCTGACTGGTAGAGCACTTGCCTAGCATGAGTAAGGCCTTGCTTCAAGCCCCCCTACCACAAGAAAAAAGAAAGAGAACACATATAAAGCAATATACAGAGAGAAGTTTCCCTCACAGCCTAGTCCTTGTTCTGTTTAGTTCTCACTTCCTGCCCCAAGTCCAGGTAATCACTGTCTTTAGTCTCTCAGATATTCTTTCAGAACCCTAGACAGCAAAAGCCAAGTTCTTCCTGACACAAACAGAAGCACAAAGTACTTATTTTTGAATGCTTTTTTTCACTTCATGTATTCTAATCAAGAGCTTTCAACATCAGTACCCAGAGAGCCAACAAAAAAAACTGGTACATAGTAGACATTCAATAAATACTAGCTGAATAGATATGTACATTCTGTCTTACAGATGGGCAGAACTCCACTGTGTGGGTTTGCCACGATTCACTTCACCAGACCCCTACTGATATATTTAACCTTGTCTTCAACTTTTTTCTACTCTATTAACAACCCACAAAGAACAAGTTTGTTCATCTGTCATATTATATGTCCACTAGTCTACCTGTAGAACAATGTTTTTGAAATGAAATTTCTGTATTGAGGTATATATTTATTCACGATTTTTGACAAATAACTGCCCAAATACCATGTTTGAAGGTTATACTTTATGTTTTCACAAGTGTTGAGAATGCCTATTTTCCAACAACCTCTCCCAAAAGGTGTTATGAAACTTCTGAATTTTTCTCAACTTGATAACAAAAATCTGATATTAATTAATTTGTGTTTCTTTTATTATGAATGTGGCTGTATAAGCATTCAAATTCTTTGGCCATCTTGGTCTTAGAAAGTTCTAGAGAAACTCAGATATTAGAGGAATTGTACCTTCAACTATAATGAATTAAAATTTTTTCCTAATTTTCTTCTCACTTGGCCTAAAATATCTTTTAGCTATAAAAAAAAACTTTAAAAAATTTTGTGTAGTAGCTTGGCATGGTAGTCCATGTCTGTCTGGTAGGTTGAGGTCAGAGGATCAAAAGCTCTAGTCCTTTCTGTGCAACTTAGCAGGACCTGGTCTCAAAATTAAAAAAAAAAAAAAAACCACTAAAAATAAAAAGTGCTGGGATATAGGTTAATATGAAGGTTACTGTTAAATTCCCAGGACAATACCAAAAAATTATGTGTTCATAGCCTTAATTTGCTCTTTGCAATAGAAACACTCCTTGTTTGCTGGCTGGCAATAAATGCTCATCACATTTCTGCAGTATACACACATTTCTGTATCAGCACTCACTGACCTTCCTCACTCTAGTGTTCCTGTAAACTATTCCTCTCCTTTTATTCTTCTCTTGCTTGCTTTTTAGTTTTCTCCCTCTTCTATCTTTGTTCTAAGATTTGTACAGTCTAGGAGAGAAAAGAGTGCTTGATCTCAACTTGTAATTCTTTCCCCACAAAGGATTAGCAGATATAACCACAGACAATTACAGTCACATTTGCCATCATTTTTTGTCTCATTTTTCTCCCAAAATATACACTCTTTCAAGATACGTAATTCCTTTATTGTATCACTGATATGATGTAGCTATTAAATGTATCTCTATAAGTATTAAAGCATTAATTATATAAATACTTGAATACATCTTGATGCTAAAATATAAGCCGAAAATCTTGAGAAACAAACTGATAAAAACTTAAAATATTTAGTTCTTTATTTCTAAGTCTTTTAATTTTTTTCTTTTGCTCTAATCCTTTCAAAAGATCTCCTTGGAAGGAGTAAAAGGCCCTGTCCACAATTCACATGCTACTTTTTTTCCAGTTTCATTTTAAATTCATTGAAAAGAAGGAATTTTAATATTCACCTGCAGAATCCTTCCAGAAAATTGGGGACATGCTCTAACACTTTCCCCTTTAATTCCATTCACATGAATAACAAATATTTATTTTCTTCTGGCATTTACATCTCTTTTTTCAGAGCATATCAGTCCAGAGAGTGCAAAAAAGGCAATGTACAACCCGAATCCAGGAAACAGATAACTGTACCAATGTACAACAGGCTTCCTTAGGCCTCCTTCCATCCCTACACATGGAATTATTTGTAGGTCTGGCCTGGGGAAATCAGTAGAAGTGCAGACAAAGTGGGCACTTAGGTAAGATTTACGGCCCAAATAATTAGATGACCTATGAGAGTATCTCCAGGTGAAATTCAAACTTACCTTGGTGGTTTATTTTAAGTGTTTATAGTACGGACCATAAGGCATTTTGTAACTGCCATGAACATTGTTCTAAAGAATTGAAAAATAGAAACATACAAGAAAAAAGGTGGAAAATTGAAGGAAAGGAAACAATAATAGAATATAATAATTTCCTATTTCATCTACAAATGAGATTTAATATTTAAAAGATCAATTTTAAGATCATTACATGACCTACTGAAGTACTGTCAATCTGTTTTTCTACTACATATTAAGAAAGAGAGACGAAAGGAAAACCCCACTATTTCTGCAGTTTTTCTCTGTACAATACCTGAAAGCAGTGATAGAAAAGGGAGCCCTTTTTATTAAGCGCTGTTTTCCAGTGGTGAGATTCGTTTGCTTCATTTCTGTGTACAAAAACAAAGATATGGGATCAGCGACAGAAATGTACTACTATAAAGTATCATGAAGATGAGTAACCATGCTACACGATGCTCAGAAATTACGGTGTGCCGCGAGTAACTGACAAGCACAGTGCATGAGGATACCTCACCACGCAGCTATTTATCATGTCAGAGGGGTGCTCAGGAGAGCACAGAATCAGTGCTAGGTCTGAGCTCATGCACAAGGATGTTAATTTCAACTGCTGCTCAGTATGCAGGGTCTGCTCCTTTCTGTATCACACTGAGGTTAAAGTGATGCTAAAAAACAAGAGCTTTAACTTCCGAGGGTTAAGAATACTAGAAAGAGAGAAAAAATTAACTCTTCTGTTACTAAGTAGAAAAATATATTACCATTTCTCCAAGAAATATGGAAGTGATTATAAAACATACATTACCATTAGAAAACTTGCACAACCCCCAGAATTTCAAAAATTTGTACATTCATGGCTTCTCTTAAATTGTATACCTAAATAAAAAAATACAGAAAATCTGGCAAGACCCAACACATATTCATATAAAATATTCTAGTGATAAAAGACTAATTGATTTCTATATTTCTTCTTCTTTTATCTATGCCTCAGCCTGGGCAATATTTAGCAGGTCCATCTCTTCATTCCCACAAAGTTAAGCATTATATCCTCCTGTAAGCATCTACATACTGCTCCATTCCGAAATGAAGGGGCTGACTCCCTGAGACCAGTGCCAGTGTCAAGTGTGCTCTGCCCTTTCTATATTGTCCTTGACCTGGCACACACGGGCATGGCCCCCTCAGTGCATGGTCCATAACCTCAGTGCCATCTTCTTAAACCACTGCAGTTTCAGTTTTATTTTCACCATTTTTACAGTGAAAACCTGAGCTGGCTAGTGGCAGAAGGGCTGGGGCTACAAACTTTGGAAATAGTATATGTTAAATGCCAATAATTACACCTCTAAAATAGTGTCATTATATAAAGAGTTGAAGAACTTGAGTTGTTAGTATATATGACTCCTATTCTGTGATAAAGATATTTTTAAAACCATGTTTTCTAACAGAAAGCTTTCAAAAAATATAGTTCACTAGTGAATATTCTTTGCACAGCATGTGGCTAACTAAATTATCTGCCAAATATTTTAATAAACTTCATCCTCTTCATGAAACCACAAGCCTGTGTACATCATTCTACTTCAAAAACAGCTCTTGTATGCAAACCTAGAAATGTGCCCCCAATATCTGCCTAGGACTGTCGCAGAAAGACAAGTGTCAGGATTCCTTCTCTGGTAGTCTGTTCAAGGCCTAATGTCAGTAAGACAAAGTTAGAACTAGTAAGACTCCAATGGTTTTAACTTTTGATAATTGTTTTACAAAATAATTGTTTTACAAAACAAGAACAACTCTGACAAGAAATGATTATAAGATGCCTGGGTATATCAACTTCTTCCTGGCCCGAGCCTCTTCACTAGCTCTGGCCAAGGCTCATCCCTAGGAGTCTGATAAGGTTTTCTCTCCTCCCCACTACAAAATACTACAACTAGAATCAGAAAGACACAACTAATAGAAACCGGGAAAGGAGAGCTAGAGGACTAAACTGTGTACAACAAAACACGAATTCATTAGGAAAGCCTCCCTGACCATGTCTTGTTTGCTTCTGGTCAACAGATAGCAGGTGCTTCCTGCTTAAAACCCAAGCGGGTGAATCCAACAGGTTTCTCATGGGGTAACTAAAAGCACTCCATGTACATGCGTAAGACCCAAAGCGGGGCTGATTTCCAGATTGACTGGCTAGCCTATGAAAGAACCAATAATACTAGAAAATGGCAGACAGAGCTTGGTGTGGTTGTGCATGCCTATAATCCCAGCACTCTTGGCAGCTAAAGGAGAAGGATCACAAATATGAGCCAAGCCTGGGCAATTTAGTACAACTGTCTCAAAAAAAACCAAATGACTAGGGATGTAGCTTAGTGCAAAGGCCCCACGTTCATCCCCAATACTGAAAAGCAAAACAAAAAAAACAATTTTTTGGCAAAAATACCAAGAGAGGGGTCACTAGGCTACCCTTTGGTCTTGAAACTATTATCAGTTATCTACTATCATTCTCACTTAACATCTGTTTGTACTTTAAAGTAAAAAGATTCCTGTTTCAAATCTATTTTCAGAATCATGAGAATCTATTTTCTCTTTTCAGAATGATAAGAGCTACAAGCTGGGTGTGGTGGCATAAACCTGTAAACTCAGCTACTTGGGAGGCTGAGACAGGAGGATGCCAAGTTTGAAGCCATCCTAGGTCACTTATCAAGGCCCTGTCTCATGTACACACACAAAAAAGCTATAAAATAATTTGTATTCCTTACAAGATAAGCATTACATGAACTCAAAATATGATGCTCTCCATATACATTAATATAGGTAAGCAGATAAACATGCCTTTATAAAAGGCAATGTTGCTCAAGATTTCAAATCTTGAATTTTTATAGAGCTATCTTTGTGTGTAACAAAAAGGATTTACTTCAGTTTGCAAACATATCAACTAATCCTGATCTTCAGAGCTGCAGATTGTACTGTATCAGAATACTAAAAGCACACAACTATTAGGGAAAAAACATACCTGCGAAGTCTATCTTGTAGCTGAATTTGGAAGTGGTAAAAGAAATGGAGCCGTAAGGGTTTGTTTTGAAGCTTTTCTCGATATCTTCACTGCTGACTGAACACTGAATGTTGGCATCCGGCTTTAAGACAGACCAGAGAGTTTTGTTTACCAGCTGCTCATGCTAGTGAGGTGGCCACAGAAGTGGTGCTGGAGGAGTGAGGAAACTTAGAGCACTTATTCTAGTTCCCAACACGGAAGACCAACATGATGGCAGCACAGTGAAAGCAGCTTAAAGATTTAAAAAAAAACAACTGCTTATGGTTGGTCCCCTTCAACATCTGGTGACAGTGCCTTTTTACAAACTGTTACAATTTTTACAAATTATTCCAATAATTATACTAAGTGGATCAAATGAAATCTTCTTTAAAACCTTGGCACAGTTGAAAAAATGGTACAGGTTTTTGAGGATGGGTTCAAATCTCAGTCTAATTCCCTCTGTGACGTTGGACAAATGAACTTTTCTGAGTTTTACTTTCTTCAACAGTGTTGACAGAGTTCAACATTTGGCAGTTTGTGAGAATAACAGAGAAAACATGGCACTTAGAAGGTACTTAATAAGGACTTGCTGTTCCCTTTCTCTCTCTTTGACTACCAGTTCAAGCTTGGAGTTGCTCAAAAGTAAATGTACAGAGCTCACATAACACTGGCCTTCTATACATAGTAACACACACTGTCTCTTCTAAATAAATCACTGTGAAAACTTGGGGAAAAGCAAAAGAACTGGAAGAATTTCTAACTTTTCTACTAGTTAAGCTATTTATTTCTTTAAGTTTTCATTTAAATCCTGCAGTCACACTTTGTATCTCAGTGAAATGATGTTACATGAATCTAAGCCCCTTCTATTCCATGCAAGGGAGAGGGTACCTGAAACATGTGCCACTTCCCACACTCCGCAAGGTAGAACCAGCCCCACTGTGTATCTGATGTATCCATGTCATCCGCTCCAGTATCTGTGGTTTGGGATATGAATTCTTCTGCTTTGTGAAACATCTCCTGAAAATTCAGAAAGAGGTGGAAGAAGAAGTGATTTTATTAATAGCCAATGTGCTTTTTTATGGCTCATTATACTTCTTTACAGAGAGCTCTATTCCAATGTCTTTCCCACAGTGACACTTTAAAAATAACATTCTATCATGCATATTGGCTCTAAACATAAACATTTTAAAATGTTGAATACCATTGTTTAACAAATCAGGCAAACAATAATAACTTTAGATAGTATGTATCAGAGCCCACAGAGTTCTTCTGGGAAGCTGCATAAACAGCCATAAGCAGTTCAGATTTTCAGTACACTCTCAGGAAAATTTTTTAGTCAAAGTTCATGTATTCATTCAAAATAATCTAAGCCATCATAACTACTTAAGATCAAATGCATCTGATTGTTGTTTAAATATCATTATTTCACCTAGTGGTATAGATAGATATTTATAATAAATGGTATTCAGTATAAAAGTAGGTTACAAAATGGTATTAAGTACAAAAGAAGGTTACAAAACTCAGAAATAGTAAGATCCAATTTTAATAAAAATCTATTTATACTTACCCATACAGATGTGTTGTGCATATACATAAATATATTTGTATATGCATTTGAACACAGAAAAGGTCTGGATATATACTTCAACTTGTCATAGTGTCTCCCAGGTATCAAAATGATGGCAACAGTAATAACAAAAATAACCATGGCTAACCCTTACATGGCCAAAGTGCTGTTTGAAGAACTGCACAGATAGCTCATTTATGTCTAACAACAGCCTATACAAGGTAGGTACTTAGTATAAAGGAGAAAATTGAGGCAGAAAGGTCATACGATAGGAAAGGAAAGCCACAATTCAAACTCAGGTAGTCTGGATTCAACATCTGTGTATTTAACTACCCTATGAAATTGCCCTATACCTATCAATAATTTGCAGTGTTAACTAAACTACTTACCTTACGTACACATCATCACTGAAAAGTTTTAAATGTTCTTGGATGGATATTGTGATAATGAAGTCAATAGAAAGGGGATGAAAAGAGGCCAGTCACAGAAGATTAAACTTTATCTGGAATTAGGTTTCCTGCCCTCATTCTTTAAGGACTTTTTAACTACTGATTTAAATTTGCACAACTAATATACAAAAACATTCTTCTTAGGGGGAAAGGAGAGAGAACATTCAAGATAAAGCTAAAGACTTGTTTGACCACCACTCCTACTCCTGCATCCTCTCAACCTCCTTCTCCAAGGTTGATCTGTGCTACTAATGAACTATGTACCATCCAGATCTCTGTGTAACTACATACACACAAATAAATATAGTTATCAGCAATCTGTTAAGGATTAGATTTTTTTTTTTTTTTTGTATCAGGAATCAAACTCAGGATCTTGCGCTTGCCAGGCAGGTGCTTATGCTGCTGAGGTATATCCCCGGCCCAAAGATTAGATTTTATATATCTTTGATTTTTAAACAGAAAACACATAGTACCACATAAATTGATGTAAGACTATCTGCAAAAGTAATAGCAGAAAATATCCCAAACATGGAAAAAGAATCTGACATACAGTAAGTAAGGCACATAGAATCCTAACTAGCCATAACCAAAATAAAACTACACCCAGACATATAATAATCAAGATCCCAGACATCCAGCAAAAGAACAGAATATTAAAAGCCAGCAGAGAAAAGAAACAGATCACCTGTAAAGGAAAGCATATCAGAATCATGGCAGGTTTCTCAACACAAACCATGAAATCAAGAAGAGCTTGGACTGAAGCATTCCAGGTCCTAAAACAAAACAATCTCCAACCCAGATTGATGTATCCTGCAAAACTATCCTTCAAATTTAATGGAGAAATAAATTATTTCCATTACAAAGAAAAACTAAAGAACTTCACAAATGCCAAACCAACCCTGCAAAGAGTACTAAAAGATATTCTAGAAAGAGATAAAAATGACCACAATTTCAAAAACAGCAACAGAATGGAACCACTTTGTAGGGCAAGCAATTAAACAGAGTAAAAGTAGGAAAACAACAACAGGTAAATAACATAACAAAGATAAGGCAACACGTTTCAGTTATAACCATTAATGTAAATGGCCTCAATTCACCAATCAAAAGAAGCAGGCTGGCAAAGTGGATCGAGAAACAAAATCCAACAGTATGCTGTATACAAGAAACATATTTAACTCAAAAGGAAATTCATAGACTGAAAGTCAAAAGTTGGAAAACAATCCTCCATGCAACAAGAACCCAGAAAAAAGCATGAGTAGCTATTCAGTTTGCAGACAACGCGAACTTCAAACCAAGAATGATCAAATGAGATAAAGAAGGTCACTACATACTTGTCAGGGGAAAACTTCAAGAGGAAGAGATAAAAATCATAAATACATATGCACCAAACATGGGAGCACTCAACTATATAAGACAAATCTTAATAGACACGAAAAACCAAATAATTAATAACACTATTGTAATTGGGGACATTAACACCCCATTGACACAAAGAGATAGGTCAACGGGACAAAAAATCAGCAAAGAAATAGCAGAATTGAGCAAAACTTGCAAACAAATTGACTTAGTAGACGTTTACAAAATGTTCCACCCAATAACATCAGAATACACATTCCTCTCACCTGCACACAGGACTTTCTCTAAAAGAGACCACATACTAGCCCATAGAACAAACTTAACTGAATGCAAAAGAATTCGAATTATCCCATGCATATTATCTGACCATAGTGCAATAAAATTGGAAATTAATGAAAAAGATGCCATAAGAACTCCATAAACACATGGAAATTAAGTAATAGCCTCCTGAGCAATCAGAGTCACAGAAGAAATTAAACAATATCTAGAAGCAAGTGAAAATGTAAATACAACTTACTGGAATCTGTGGAATGCACTGAAAGCAGTCCTCAGAGGAAAGTTTATAGCAGTGAACTCACATACCAGGAAAACAGAATGAGAACAAATAAATAGCCTAATGGTACACCTTAAACTTTTAGAAAAAGAAGTCAGCCAGGCATGGTGGCACATGCCTGTGAATCCCAGCACTTAGAAGGATGAGGCAGGAGGATCACTGGGAGTTTGAGACCAGCCTGGGCTATAAAGTGAGCTGAAGGCCAGCGTGAACTGCATAGCAAGACCCTGTCCCAGAAAAAAAAGAAAAGAAAAAGAAGAAGTTAAGCCCAAAGCCCAAAGAAGGGAGAAAATTATAAAAATCAGGGCAGAAATAAATGCAATTGAAATGAAGAAGACACTACAAAGAATTAATGAATTAAACAGTCGGTTCTTTGAAAGAATAAATAAAATGATAAACCCTTAGCCAACCTTATCAAAAGAGAAAAAACTCAAATTTATGCAATAAGGAATAAAAGATGTGTAATCACCACAGACCCTATAGAAATTCAGAACATCATCAATACCTAATTTGAAAATCTTTACTCCCATAGGATGGAAAACACAGAAGAAATGGACAGATTCCTAGATATGTACGAATTGTCAAAGCTGAATCAAGAAGATATAAAAATCTTGAATAACCCAATATCAATTATGGAAATTGAAAATGTGATTAAAAACCTACCAACAATGAGTACAGGCCCAGATGGACTGAATTCTACAAGACACTCCTCCAAATCTTTAATGGAATTGCAAAGGAAGCAATTCTCCTTACCTCACTTCTGGAGGCAAATATTATACTGATACCAAAATCAGAGAAAGACCCAACCAAAAAAGAGAACTACAGACCAATCTCCCTAATGAACACAGATACAAAGATAATTAAAAAAAAATACTAGCAAACAGAATTCAGCAAATCATCAAGAAGATAATACACCATGACCAAGTAGGATTCATCCCAGGGATGCAGGGATGGTTCAATATACACAAATCAATCAATGTAATACACCATATAAACAGAGCCAAAGACAAAAATCACATAATCACCTCAATAGATACAGAAAAAGCTGTTGAAAAAGTCCAACATGCATTTATGCTAAAAACTCTACAGAAAATAGGAATTGATGGTCTTTACCTCAAACTGATCAAAGCCATCTATGACAAAACAACAGCCAAATCATACTAAATGGACAAAAACTAAAAGCTTTCATTTTAAAATCAGGAACAAGAGAAGGATGTGCACTGTCACCACTCCTATTCAACACAGTTGTGGAAACATTAGCCAGAGCAGTTAGAGAAAAGAGAGATATAAAAGGAATAAGAATAGGAAAGGAAGAAGTGAAATTATCATTATTCACAGATGACATGATACTCTATGTGGAAGACCCCAAAAACTCCACCAAAAGACTCCTAGAATTAATCAACAAATTCAGTAGCATAGCTGGATACAAAGTCAACACTCAAAAATCAAGCATTCCTATACACAAACAACAAACACACTGAGAGAGAAATTAACAAAAACATACCTTTCCCAATAGCATTAAAAAATTAAAATATTTAGGATTCAACCTAACAAAAGAAGTAAAAGATCTATATAGTGAAAATTACAGTACTCTGAAAAAAGAGATCAAAGAGGATTTCAGAAAATGGAAAGATATTCCTTGCTCATGGATAGGAAGAACCAACATTGTGAAAACAGCCATGCTTCCTAAATTGTTGTACAGATTAAATGCCATTCCAATTAAAATACCATTAGAATACCTCATGGACCTAGAGAAAATGTTCCTAAAATTCATCTGGAAGCAGAAGAGACCCAGAATGGCAAAAGCAATCCTGGGCAACAAAGACAAGGCAGGTGGCATCACAATCCCTGACTTGAAATTATACTACAAAGCTACTGTGATAAAATCAGTATGGTACTGGCAAAAGACAGACCTGAAGATCAATGGAATAGACTGGAAGATGCAGCCACAATCACAAACACACTCAGCTACCTTATATTTCACAAAAGGAACAAACATGTTCACTAGCGGAAAGTTAGCCTCTTTAATAAATGGTGCAGGAAAAACTGGCTTTCCACATGCCAAAGACTAAAACTAGATCCATGTCTATCA